GCACTAGAGAAGCTACTCAATAGGAGGAGCTCTCCTTTTACGAGGAGATAGAGACTTGCCAAAACTGGCCTTAAAGCTGGTCTACTTTACTTAAGTCTTGTGTTGGTTCGGTGGCTTGCGTGGTGTTGAATATTCTAACAACATCTCTTCCTAAATTTTTTTTGTGGGCCACCCACAAAATTATAGGTTTTTATTGGACAATGGTCCATCCATCTCCTAGATTTCTTAGTGAAAGAATATGCATGAAATAGTATACAAAGTAGAAAAAAATAACAATAGAAAAATAGTATACAAGTATTATGTATAATATACATAAAATATCAATAGAAAATAATAAATTAAAAATCTAGGTACTTAGCACAAAGTCAGAAAATAGGTTGACAATTAGTGACAAAGGCATCAGAGGATGAAAGCGAGGAGATTAGTGTTGGTGAACAATGATGGTGGATAGGTATGGGAGCTACTACCGGAAGGTGGGGTGGCTACCGATGGCGGGTGGACACCTAATTGGAGTGAATATTGGCTTTGTGACCTTGGGTATTTTGGTTATTTCCCATGTAGATAATAGACAAAAAAGAAAAAAAAATAAAAGGTAAATTTGCATTAACCGGTATGAGTATGGTCATATTTAAAACGGCAATTCTTCTAATCTAATTTTTTGATCAAAACATTTGTAAGCCACCTCACAGGAGTGGCAAAAATCCAAATCCCTCTAAGAACATCTCAACATATTCGTTCAATACCGCCCTGGAATAGTCTTGGGTAACGCAACTAACACGAATACGTAGCATGAATGCACTCAACACTATTTTATGTGCATTCATGCTAGTAGCATATTATATTTTTGCCATGCAAAGTTTTTAAGACATGTTTATACATCAATTAGGATGCTTTGAGATTTTTCTGGATATTTTCCCATTTTTCTAGAGCTATAATCCTATTTCTGAATGAAGTTTCTAAAGATGTCTTCATGATCTCTGTGTATTTTATTTGGATTTTTCGTATCGTAATCTATCTCTAGAATGTTTTTCTTTGAATTTTAAAAGGTTTGAGACATTTTTTGTGGTTTAAAACCTTATCAAATATTTACCGAATGTTTTTAACTAAAAATGAAAAAACTACCTTCGAAACCACTCTAATCCAGGATATAGAGATAATTTGAACGGTTTAGAAAGCTACTTGTTTGGGTTTGGAGTTGAAAATCAAACATGATGGCTAATGGCTCGTTCGTTTGGACTTGAACTGAGAGGAAGCTTACGCAAATTAGACACGCAATCCTCGCTGGATTAGTTCGAGAGGCCCTAAAGGAGGTTGGAGGTACAATGGACCCTTTTCCATTTTTGACGGATCCGGCGCTGGTTGCGTTGGGTAATTGGGCTAACGTGAACTTCATCGGCCCAATAGTTTCCACAGAGCCGGGGCGGAGGTAGGCCCAGTGCGGTGCTCTGGGCAATTGGAATGGAAAAATCAAAATAGCCCTAGCACATCACACATCACTGGAAGGCGGAAGCCACCGCCGCACCCCGACTCCGGCGCCCTTCCTCCCGACGGCGCCCCACCCAGCGACGCCGCCGCCGCCTTACGCCAGGTGCCCGGGTCTCTTCTCCAGGCCTTAGTCGTAGGTCCCTTCGCCGGCGACGAGCACCACATTCTCTCCCATTCCTGCTGTGCGAAACCGAGTTCCCGAACCCTAACCTTCGCTATTCGGCTGTATTCGCTATCATGCCTACTAACCTAGACTGCTTTTACAAACATTATTGAATGTACATGTGTACACCCATGCCCTTTACTAGGTCCGCCCCTGGCTGTAAGTGTAAGTGTGTGGTGTTTTGCTTGCCTGAACGTGTTCTGATTTGGTTTGTGGGGGTCCTCTGCTTGTTGCATGATAATCCTGTATTTTGGTCACATAGACGAGTGTGCTGTCTATTTCTAGCTTATCCCTACCTCTGTATTCAGGCTGATTAGGCTTCACAATCACTATGGGTTCGATTAATGAATGGATCCTGCTGTGTGCTTTTAGAACCTTGCAAGTAACAATGAATATTCTTATTCAGATGTTATGCCATGCAGTGTTTTTTTAGCTGCAATGGATCCAGAAAATTCAGGCATTGATGTCATAGTATAATGATCTTGCTAAAATCATAGGATCATCTCTTGCACAAGCAATGTTTACAAAGTAATTTGCCCAAAGTCATTGCTGTCACATGACAACAATGCTTGAACTGTGGCTTTGCCCCTGTTTGCAACATGAGCACCATCCTTATTCAGATGTTATGCGTTGTAGAAATGTTTTTGCAACATAGTACCATTATGTACACTTCTGACGGTGCATTGTCTGGTCAATTAATTATGAATCTTACTTCCTCTGGTCATACCTGCCATATTCTCTCTCTATGAATCTCACATTTTCTTACTGAAAAAACAACAACATGATGCACTGTTTTGAAAATTACATAGCTGCAATGTATTTAATGTTGCGCTGCATGCAGAATTTATGGTCCAATTTGTCAAAGGCAGTAGTGGCCAGTGGGCACAAAAAGTAGCACATGTGGTTATTGCATGATTCAATGCTTTCTTATTTCTTGATGTATGCACATGTATGGGTATAATCATGCAATCTTTTTTGTGCAATTGTGCAGGTGACACTGCATAGCAATAATTTCTTTTTGGAAAAAAGCTGGAGCGATGAGTCATAAATGGTTCACAAGGATGACCTGCTGTTGCTGTGTGCGTTCATAGGCACACCAGGTAACCCATGTCTAAGTTTATTCCTTTCCTCTGAACATGCTCACTGAAGAAAAAGATCTGTTATACATAACTATTAGTCTTGATCAGTTTAAATGCCTGTTTGGAACTGGGCCATTTTATCTAGGCTTAGAACTGTTTCCTACTTCTCCACTAAGCTAGCTTTTAATGGAAGTGCTAAGTTTACCTCATTGGGAAGAGGAAGATGTGATTCTATCCAATAAAAGGGGTTGCAGGGCTCTGTAAATCAATAATATTTTTGTAACATGGTTCCCACAGAGACACTGTAACTGTTTGCAGAAGGAGGGATATACATAATATATCAGGGAGGATTGGTTAAATTGAATAGGCACCTCATTCTGCTACTTTGTTTCCAACTATTGTGAATCCATGTTACTTTTCATACCTTTATAATTATGTACAGTTAGTCTTCATATCAGTTAAGAGAGCCCTCTTCATAGTGAGTGTATCGTGATCATTCATGTCAATTAGATACTTTCCTCAACTTCCTGTTTACTTCTCTTACTTGGGCCCCATCAATCTCCTTTTCGACCCTTTGAACACACTACAGCTGCTATTGGTAGGTGGTGTTAACCTTTCTGTGCTGACTTCTCCATTGTGTCTGCTCTCTAGAATCAGCAGGGATGCCACTTTCTTAACTCTATTTCATCTCATTATTTTTTGTTTGAATTTGACAACTAAATCAGGATAACAAAGATACTCAAGTATTTGTTGTCACTTTGCTTCTATTTGAGCTCCTTAAATCGTCTGCTGCAAGTCTTTTGCTCACTAAATCATGCGTAATGCAAACAATGTTAACAAGTCCGACCCATTGTCACCTGCTACCTTGCACTATTCTTGAGGACTAAATAACTCTCTTAACATTCTATTCTTGTTGACACTTTGACTTTGAGTGCCTTGAATCATCTACTGCAAGTCTTCTTTTGTTCACTAAATCATGCATGATGCAAACGATGTTAAGAGGTCTTACCTATTGACACCTGCCACCTCACTTTGATGACAGCCAACTGCTGAAGCAACATATACTACCCCAAGAAAGTTGATGCCTGCAGAGGATAAATAATACTTCTCCACTCAAACGTGTATCTGTAAGTGATGCCATGCTAACGTAAAGTTTCTTTTTATGTTGATTTTGAATTTTGATCCTGTGCGTGCTTTACCTATGTGTCTTTATTTTTCTTTGTCCCCTGTAATTCTATTATACCCTCCATAATGAAGTGTCATTGGATGTGTTGAAAATCATGTTATTGACAATAATATGGTGTATATTGTCTCATTAGGTTTATATGTTGACTTCTGTTTGTTGACTCCGTGCTACATCAGATGCTGCAATAAATCATATACATACTTGTGGATTTGCTATTTGTTTGAAAGGAGAGTTTTTATTTTCCCCACTTAGAATGATGTTTGGGTCATTCGCCATCCTTTGCTCATCTGATGATTGTGAAGCTAAATAGCTTATATTTGAAGAAGGGCTAGATTGAAGTAGTACTCAAATGTTCAATCACAATTACGTGCAAGATCATATGAGTTCAATATATGAATTTGCTCTGCATATGTAAGAAAAAAAAAGTGTTTGAATCATGGTGCAATATAGATAGAATCACTGGTATGTACTATCTTTTCATGGTTGATTTCGTTTTACTTTTCATTCCTTTTCAATTCAACTATTAACATAACAGAATTAGCAATATTCAGTGGAGTGTGATAGACCAAGTCTATAAGTCTTGTGTTTATCCCAAGTAGTAGTTGCTGCATATGTCAGCACCGTTATCATCTATCTTATTAGCATCTACTTTAGGATATGCTGTATGCTTTAGCATCTGCCGTAGAATATGCTAAAACTTTCTTAAGTTGCAAGTTTGCTACTCCTATATGGACTCAGAAAAATCCTGTCATGGTTTGTGGCTAAAAATAGAAAATCTGCCCCAAATACCTGTGTCTTTGGCTAACAGAGTGAATTATGATGGAAAGAAGAGGGCCTTTTTTTTGCATGATTTTGCATTTCTTCTTGAATTAGTTTATCACTATTCCACTATTAGTTTCACACTGGTATTTTTCATGGTCTAATGCACTAAAGGTTTTAGCATAATATTGTTTGAGAAAGCGATCCTAAGGTGTTCATCCACTTTCGAATAATTTGTACTTAAATAATAACATTTTTCCATAGTATATCCATCTTCATCTGATGTGAACTTATTTGATGCCAGGTTGCGCTCTACTTTTCTGAGAATATGGTTGGTTGCAATAGGGAAGAGGCCTTAAGGGCCAGGGAAATTGCTGTGAAGAAGATGGAAAATAAAGATTTTTTTGGTGCCCAGAAGATTGTGCTTAAAGCTCAAAAGCTTTTTCCAGAGCTTGAGAATGTGTCTCAACTGTTAACCATCTGCAGTGTGCACTGTGCAGCAGAGTTAAGGGTGAATGGAGAGATGGACTTCTATGGAGTCCTTCAAGTGGAGGAAGGAGCTGACAAAACCTTGATAAAAAAGCAGTACCGCAAGCTTGCATTTTCACTTCACCCTGATAAAAATTGTTTTGCGGGTGCTGAGGCAGCTTTCAAGTTGGTTGCCGAAGCTCATTCTGTACTATGTGATACTGCAAAGCGAAATGATTATGACCTGAAAAGGAGGAATGGATTTAGAAATGTGCCAAAGTCAGCCAAACAGCAGCCATCAAAGAAGACTGATTCACATAAACAGAGCATGCCTGGATCTAGAGAAACATTTTGGACTATATGCTCAAATTGTCAGATCCAATACCAGTACTACAGCAATATCTTGAACACCATGGTCCGCTGTCTGAACTGTAAAAGGAATTTTTTTGCATACAAGCTGAATCAACAGCCCATGTCCACTTCAAGTGTCAACAGCTCCCAAGTTCCTGCAAGCAGGTTTGCGAATAAACAACGTGACACTCCCAATCAACAAGGTCACCCTATGAATCCTTCATCTGTAGGTAGAGGCACCAATGTGAAGCCAAATGGTTCCCAAGACCCTGCACACATGTTTCGAAATCAACAGCATGGTGTTTACAGTCAACATGGCCATCCTGTGAAGCCTTCTGCAGGCAGAGACACAGATGCAAAGCTGAGGATGAATGTGGCCCAGCGTGATGAATACATGAAAGGGAAAGCTAATGACCCAGAGGTGTTGAGGGGGAAATTTCAATCTTCAACGCTGAATCAAGATAAATCTTCTGTCTCTATGGGAAATGGGGACATGCAAGGAAGGCCACCAATTTCAGATCCTGCTGATCCAAACATTGTCAACACACAGAAATCAGTTCAGGAAGATGCGTCTGCAGTGCCGGATGCTATGGATCTGCCTGGTTCTGCAAAGCCTTCTTCTGCAGGTGGGAAAATAGATGGAGATGCAAGGATAAATGTTGCAGGTAGTAGATTGATGCCAGATCCTGTTGATCTAAATATTACTGGCAGAAGAAATTTGCATAGACAAGATGCATCTACAGTGCCTACTGGTGCCGGATCCTCTGGTACCCAAAGCTCAGTTAAGAGAAAGACGTATGCTGATGGCAATGTTTGCCTGGACACGGATACCAACAAGAGGCCAATGAAAAATAATATTCCATCTGATGTTAACATGAGTTGTAAACAAGTATGTGATGATGGTGTCACTAATGCTCGCATACAATCAGATCCACCTCATGTGTCCGGCGGCAATGTAGACACCCAACAAAAGCCAAAAGTTGCTGATATAAGTGATCATCAGGTAAATATCAAGGAAAAAGCTACTGAAACTGATAGTGATCAGGACAATATCATGGAAGAAGCTCCTCAAACTGTTAGTAAAAACGTAAATATCAAGGAAAAAGCTACTGAAACTGATAGCGATCAGGACAATATCATGGAAGAAGCTCCTCAAACTGTTAGCGAAAAGAAGCCTTCTTACTCTGAACAGGTCACCCTCCCTGATCCAGATTTCTTCAATTTTGAGAAGATCAAGGATATCAATGTGTTCGAAGTTGGTCAGATATGGGCCCTCTATGATAACCTTGATGGCATGCCAAGGTATTATGCTCGTATAAAGCATTTTGATGCCTCCAACTTCAAAATACATTTAACTTGGCTGGAGTACATTGCGATGGATGAAGATGAGGAGAACTGGACTGATGAAGAACTGCCTACTGCTTGTGGAAACTTTCGCCTTGGGAAAGGAACTGACATATCAGAAGACAAGGAAATGTTTTCTCACATTGCTTCTTGGACAAAAGGTAAAAAGAGGAATTCATATGTCATATATCCTAACAAGGGTGAGGTGTGGGCTCTTCACAAGGGGTGGAGCATGGAATGGAGCTCAGATGCAGATAATCATAGATCATATGAGTATGAGGTTGTGGAAGTCGTGTCAAGTATGTCAGCCAATGGTGGCGCCACTGTTATCCCACTGGTTAGGATTGAGGGATTCGTTTGTTTATTTGCAACAGCTAAAGACAAATCCTCATTTGTGATACCATCTAGTGAGCTGCTCCGATTTTCTCACAGAATCCCTTTTTATAGGACAAAAGGAAATGAAAAGGTTGGTGTTCCAAGAGGATTTCTGGAACTGGACAATGCATGTCTCCCTGCTGACCTGGATGCAGCATTTTCCTCTGTTACTCTTGACTCTTACATGTCTCTCAGCAAGAAAGAAAGCAGCACATCTGTTAATGTGACCACTGACAATACAAGTTGTAGAATGGATCTGGGAGATGATCAAATTGCTCAAAAGGAGAATCACCGTGAAGAGCATATTGGCCACCCCCACCCAATGCCTACAGACAATCCTAAAGATTTGTGCCTGGAACAAAATACACCCTTAAAGAAAACTGCTGGTGATGCCAATGAATTTAGTGATTGCTCTCTTCAAGGCAGCCTCTCCCCCAACATATACACATATCCTGATTCTGATTTCCACAAATTTGAAGAAGGTCGCTCCTGTGAGAAGTTTGAACGTGGACAAGTATGGGCCTTGTACAATGATATTGATAAACTTCCCAAGTTCTATGCCTGTATAAAAAAAGTCAGGGAAGAGCCTTTTAGAGTTGAGGTGATCTGGCTTGAGGCTTGCCCGAAACAGGATCAGGAGAAACAGTGGTTGAAGCAGGACATACCCATCAGCTGTGGCACATTCAAAATCCTAAAATGGAGAGCTGAGTATGACACAAGCGATACCTTCTCTCATCGGGTATATTTTAGAGAAACTGGCAAAAAGCGGGAGCTTGAAATCCTCCCACAGGTTGGCGATATCTGGGCTGTCTACATGAACTGGGCACCTGACTGGGTTCCATGCAGTGTTGATGCCTGTGAGTTTGCTATCTGCGAGGTCGTCGAGTGCACTGAAGCTAGCACAAAGCTCACCTTCCTGGCCCAAGTCAGCGGCTACCGATCCGTGTTCAAGCCTGACAAGCAAAGGGGAGTGCTGGAGGTACCTGCCGGGGAGGAGCTGAGGTTCTCCCACCAGATACCCTATTTCCGCCTGACGGGAGAGGGAGGCGGCAGTCTCCGTGGCTTCTACGAGCTTGACCCTGCTTCCGTCCCCGATGCCTTCCTGTATGGGGACACCTGATGATGACTGGCTGGCAGATGCTGAACCAAACCCCGATTCTGGTTAGCATTATGTCTCAAGTGTTAGGCTGTCAGTTTATTTGGTGTACATATACGGCGGTTAGCTTAGTCTCACTGGAACCGTGCGGATATAGTCATATGGAGGTGCCTGGGGTGGGTTGCTATTTCTTACCAGTGCCTATGGAAAAGGTCTCAGGCGCTGTTGTGCTGGTTACAGCGCATTGCTACCGGTTAAGTTAATTCTGGTTTAATCTACCAGGGTCCAGACATGTCTTATGCGCGACAGTGTTTAACATTAACTTGTTATATGCTAGTGTGGATCTGTAGCGCCTAACCCCTGCACCGTTGTTTTACTATGCAATCTTGGAAATGAAACCTGTACAGTTCAAGGTAATACTATATATATGGAGTTGTCTGTTATGCCAGGACGGTTAGAAATATGGCCGTTGAATGCTGTCTGTGTCTCTGTTGTAGCATGCAATGGTAAGTGACTACCTTATGTTACCTAGATAGAAATTTACATTCTCTCCACAGGATGGTTTGCAACGCGTGTTGGCGCTGCTTGCTGCTGCTGATTCAAACTACAGCTTATGCCATTTTAGTTTGGAAATCCAGGCAGTGCTCGTCCGGGGGTGGCGACCAGTGCTTAGCTACATCCAGACCAGAATGCTGCGTGAGAAAATAGTAGGGTATTCTTGGACACTGGCACACTGCATAGGACCGTATTTTTTTAACCCTTTTTTTAAAAAAAATATTCACATTTATATCCTTGGGTGTCTTAAACCTGTTTTTGGCCTTGGAGTGAGCGCCGTGGCCCATGATGCTAAGATAACATGTCTGGGTGCAATAGGCCATGTGGCCCAGCCTGAAGGCCTTGATGGCGTGGCGGGAAGACGTGGTGCTGACGTGGCCAGAGCTGGCTCCACGTAGAGGCTCGTTTCGATTGTTTTGATCCCTGTTTTAAAATATAAATATCGTGTACTCAAAATACAAAATAGCTGTTTTGTAAACATTAAAAATAGCATGAAAATAATAAAACGATAGGAAATGTAAATACTGCATACCCGAAACTTATATCACTCCAATCTGAATAAAAATGTATAGAAGTGACAGTATGAGCACTGATTATATATGCCATTGACACTTGATATTTTACTCAAACCGACATGACGAAGAAGCTAGCAGCTAGTCTTCTTCGGTTAGTCAACGTGAACCAATCCTCCATGGTGGCACATCGTTTGTGAGAAAACAAATCAACTTTGAGACGCTTTTAGCTCTCGTTCGATCAAATCCCGCGTAACTTCTTGGTAGTGTGGGAAGAGCCTTGGATTTAACGTCTCTGTACGCAGAGGCGGAGAGCTTAACTGAGTAAACAGGGCTGGTCTATGTAAACTCGCTATAAATAAACATCATGAACAGTGTTAAAACTACCACCTTCATTTTTTATAAGGTGTACACGTATATCAAGATTTAAACTTTAAATTTTAATCAATATTTTAGCTAATAATTTTTAACGATTACAATATAAACTTGATACCAAAATTGTGCTATCCAATAATCTAAGTTTAACAATTTTTTCGGAAGGGCTAGTGTCGACGAAATACGTCCAGCAGTTTACCAAGGGGTATGCCTACGGTAGTAGATGAATCGATGGAGGTGCGTGTGAGGAAACCGGATGGTGACACAGAACGCAAGAGACAGCGATTAGATAGGTTCAGACCGTCGACTTGGCGTAATACCCTATGTCCTGTATCTTTCGGTGGGTTGTATTGCGTATGATCAGATCTGCCGTCTAGAGGACCTCTGTCCCTCCTTATATACTCTGGAGAGGTAGGGTTATAAGGAAAATATCATATTTGGTATTACAATATCTTATTGTAGCCTTGCGGTGCACGCCAACCAGTGCCGTGCACCGCGCGCCTTGATCTTGTGGGCTGGGCCACCTCTGATGGTGCGGCCCATGTCTTGTCCTGTGGGTACCGGGGGTCATACCCCCATAGCTAGTCCCCAGACGCCTTATATCCGCTGAGCAACACCGTCTTGATCTTGTCCGAGCTGTCCAACTTGCTGCTGATCATCAGGAACAGGTGTCCAATCAGTTTAACTGGGAGCCGAGCTGTTGAAGCGAGTATCCGAGCAGTTGAACATGCGTCCAAGCAGTTGAACTGTCATCTGAGCTGTTGTCCGAGCAGTGGGAACGGCGCCTGAGCAATTCAACTGTGAGCAAGCCCAGACTTACTCGAAGCTGAGGTTTGCCACAAGGATGTAAGAGGCTCATGATAAAAAATATTGAAGTCTCCATCTTGGATGAAGTGTGCCCACTTAGGTTCTGGGCGTTGAATTTAGACGCTTAGCGTCCTTGACTTAGTCAGCACGGAGGAACTTAGTCACTTTGTAGAAGATTAAGTCAGAAAAATAAGCACATTCACCGCGAGGTGAAGTGTGCCCACTTAGTCTCTGAGCCTGACAGTAGGTGAAATAGTCACGTGATGCCATGGTCCAAAGTAGTAGTCTTCAGGTGTTGGCCCAGTCCACAATGTCGCTGGAAACCAATGTAGAAATAAATACAGTCATCGCGAGATGACATGTACACACGTAATCCTCGAGCCTGCCGGAAGATTTTGAAGACATCTCTTGCAGGGTCAAAGAATTTTAATGAAAGCCTACCAACATCATCTGGCATGTACTTCACAAGACCTCGGACGTGCAGCCTAAGATCAGCACTCTGATCCGAACAGCATGGAGCAACTTGGTAGCACACCGATGAGACGTAGCAAGATCCGACCACCAAGGGAGTCCCCAGCTTAGCTGGCGACGCTTGCACGAAGAATCGGAACACCGAGGAATCCCCAACATAGCTGGCGAGCCCCAGCGTAGCGGACGATGAAGCCCATGCGATGAGCAGTCCAACCAACTGGTCGGCGGCGAAGTGAACGCCGAGCAGTCCGACCAGTTGGTTGGTGGTGAAGTCCGTCTAATAGGTGGTCCGACCACCCGGATGATGATCATCTTGTCCGGTCCCTGAGCGTAAGCTCATTGACCGAACCGTGCCCCTGCGAAACAAATGTGTAGAATAGGTAATACATGATGTAAAAATAAAATATATGAACTCCTAAGAAGAATCAGCAATGATGATGAAATAGTGTATGCAGCTCGGTGATCAGAACACTTAGTGTTATTCTGAAGATGTGTTTATATTTAATATAAACCGTATGACCAGTTAGTGTGTAGCTGAGTTTCCAGTCCTAGCTAGTCCGTTAACCATAACGCGGAGCGCAGAGCCTGTGTGAGTGTAAGAAAAATAAGGCGTTGCTAAGGAGCCGTTGCCGACCACCCATAATGCAGAGGGCAGACGCTCACGCACGTGTATGGAGAAGCCAGAGACAGGGCCGTCTCTGGAGACCTCCGAGCATAAAACATGACTGATCGGGGATGTGCCTTAGGCAAAAACGTATGTCATCTTTAAGATGGTATATATGGACAAAAATCGTTTGGATAATAATCATGAAAAAAAATAGCACAGAGATATATCATGGTGATATATGAAGGTTGGGGAGAATATTTAGAAAAATATTAAAGCGTGACTTAGCTTTAGACAGATCGTCTGATCGGCGGCGTATGACGTTATCTGATCGGCGTCGACGAAATTGTTCGGCCCTCGAGCTTTCCGACCTGTCGTCGTGGCGGCAGCCGCGGTTGTGACAGTGCCGTTCTTCGCGGCGATCATCATTGCGACGCGGCAGGTGGTCGGAGCAAGTACTCAGGGCGACGTCGTCCTTATTTTACTAATCGGCCTTAGGCAGATCAAATTCGGGGAGATCGCTGACGTAGCCGTATTTGATCTGATGGGAGACGGCCAAGCGGAGCAGTCAGTCATGTATGATGTGCGAGTAGACGGATGCAGTGGGAATGGCTCGCTTACGACCCAGGCAGCTGGCTTATCGGCTCGCTCTTGTGGGTCAATGGAGTCGCACAGCTTGATGTAGTCAGACGGGCGCGCAGCAGCTACACGTACGTACGATCCGGCACATATGCATATGCCAATAGCTTTGATTGTTGGCTTTGTGTAGTAGGTAAGTGCCGCCGCCGTAGCCTGAAACCCCAGAAACTCCTGCGTGTCTCCTGCCAGCAGGTACATGATCTCGAGGGCGATGAGGATCATCACGGCTGCCATTGACAATAGCAAAGTAAAGACAAATAAGTCTGCATACATATAAAAATATTGAATTGCAGATTAAGGAATCGACTTAGCTATTCCCGTTGCTAAATCTGGATGTACTCGCGTGCATGTGCCCATGCAAACTGAAGTATGATTATTCTAATCAGCATGGACATGCAGATCCCATGTTTGTCCACTTGCTTGTCTTGTAGATCGCACGCCTTCCTTATTTGCTTGTTGTTGATTGGAGAAAACATCGCGCGATGATAGCACGCCGCCCAGTGTTGCATGCCTCATGGAGATACACGCGCACATGCAAGATTGGTGTAGTTGACGTGAGGCTGCATGGCCCTGCAGATCGATCGTGTGTTGCAGTTGGCTTCTTGGGAGATGCATCCGGATCTTCAACCGATGGGCTTGTCAGCTCATGTTGACACGTGTGCGGACAGTCGTTGCATCCGGACATGAATGGATTCGGCGAGTGGTGACCGCGTGTCGCTCGTTGCCGCGAAGAAAACAGGGCCTGCATGTAGCGCGGCGCAGCCGCCGTACGTGTGGCCCGTAGACCACTATCCTCATCCGAACGGCGCCATGGGAGCAGATCGGCATAGGGCACCCGTCGAAGCACACATCTGGATCCGCGATGAAGTCAGTAGCGCTGCACGACGCCACCAATCCTGATCTACCAGATCTTCCTCGATGCAGAACCACGTCGCCGTACGTCGGGAGTATTACGGCAAAACGGGACGTCGAATCGCTGTGGTTGATGTTGGTCTTGACATCTCGAATCAGCACGCACACCCCTATCTGGCGCGCCACTGTCGACGAAATACGTCTGGCAG